ATGGAAGTAAACAGGAGGATATACTCACTCGACTGCATGCACCTCATGGAGCAGTGCAGTTCTGAACAGCTTAGAGAGAATGTTGGCTGCCATCCTCATCTGGGCCAATGTCTACACCTCCTGAACCTAACAAGTAAAGTTTACCTGGCCCTGCATGTGGATGCAGTAAGACCCTACCTACACGTCCTGAACCCTGGCCCTGCATGTGGATGCAGTAAGACCTGAAGAGCTAGGCTTGGTAGCAGTCAGCTGCCATTTTAAATCCCTGAAACAGAATATCCATCCATTATATCATCACACTGGACTCTGCACACTGGAGTGGGTAGTATTAAACATCAGCCACCTGCTGCCACATCTGATGGAACACCCATTTGTCAACAGTACTGGGGAATTTCATGGGGAAGGAAGGTGTGAATGACCAGGAGCAAGGCGCACTATCTGCTTCCAGCCATGATCACCCTTCCCCTCCCCTTTCATGTAATACATGTGGTTTACTCAGTCTAGCAGTCTCTCAAAACAGAAGTTGAATGATACAAGGCTCCAAAGAAGGTGGTGGCCATTTTACAAATTTAGATGAAATCCCTGCCATGACATCATCATGTTGGGCATTACTCTTTGAGAGATTAATTGCCTTAAATTTTACTTATGAATGTTCTCATTCTTTTTCTTCAGAACTAAAAAATATCAATATCTGATGCAGTTCATCATTTTGAGGGTTCACCTTCTGAAAATTCTGACTATTTATATCCTGTAAGAGACTTATAAAAAAGAAAGACATTCCAAGATTTTGCTTTTCGGTCAGTTAGTCAAAACATCCCTTTCCTACCTTCTCTACCGGCATTAGTCTGGTAGAGATATTAAAAATAAAAACGCCTGGATGAGGCTCATAAACAGGCATTCTTATTTACCTATGTTCACAAACTACTCTAAAATATAGCATTCAGTTACTACACTGAAGCTGACATTGCTAATAATGAATGACAACATTATAAATTGGTGTACTTCATATACTGCACTCTGAAATAGCAGATACTTTCACAGCATCAACCTTTATTTATTGACAATGGGGCTCAAGGTGGCTTAAAGCAACAATAATCAAAACAAAATATAGTGGTGCCTTGTTTAACGGGCGCCCCGTTTAACGAAGAAATCGCATAGCGATTAACTTTTTGCGATTGCTTTGCGATGTTCCCTATGGGGAAAAATCGCTTTGCGGTGATCGGTACCCTGTTTCGCTTACCGAAATGGCCACCGGGTTAAAAAAATGGCCGCCCGCTGTTTTCTGGGACAGATTCCTCGCTTACCGGGCAGCGACAATGGCCACCGTATGGAGGATTTTCGCTTTAAGGTGAGTCTGAAGCCCATAGGAACGCACTGAAGGGGTTTCAATGCATTCCTATGGGCTTTTTAATATCGCATAGCGACGAAATCGCTTTGCAGCGATTTTTGCTGCACCGATTATCGTCGCTATGCGAGGCACCACTGTACAAGTAGCATTTAAAAATCACTAAATATGGAAATAATTCAAATCATAATATAAAACAGATTAAAAAGTATAAAAGCATTAAAACACATTAAAATGATATAATGTCAGCAAGCATAGGTCAACTAGTTATATTAAAATTAGATATTAAATATTGAAAGCCTATTGAAACACAAATGTTTTCAATTTCTATCAAAAAGAGAGGAGAGGGGGACCAGCCTAGCCTCACAGGAAAGTGCATTCCATAACATGGGCACAACCATCAACGCAGCCCACTCTAGGATCCCTATCAAACATGCCTATAGAAGTGATGGGAGAAAGAGAGGGGCCTCCTTGGACAATCTTAAGATTAAAGGAGAGTTATATGTGGAGATACGGTCCATCAGAAAGCCTGGACACAACCTTAGCTGTACATTTCTTCTTAAAGAGCACAATTTTCGAAGCATCCAACTATGTTTGTGGATTTATCAGTGAAAGATGCTAATCCACTTATCTCTCCCAACTATAAAATAACTATCATTTTAAGCAAAATATTTTCATTATCTATATCATCAAATCCATTCAGAGCTCAAGTGTAAAATATTGGCTCTAATAAGTCAAATGCAGATTAACATAAAAACGTGGTGTCAAATCAAGGTAGGCTAATATAAAAACTTAGAAAAGTGCCTGTGCTCATTAAGCACTACTTAAGAATAATCAAACAATGGAAATGAAATCAGGAACGTAGGAAGCTGCCTTATCCTGAGTCAAATCCTGGGTCCATCTAGTCCAGTAATCACTTATGGTTAGCAGGTCTCCAGGACTTCAGGGAGAACTCTTTCCTAGTCTCAGGTAGAAATGGCAGGGATTGAACCTGATACCTTCTGTATGCAAGTCATGTGCTCTCCCACTAAGTTTGGGTCTCCAAAAGGTGGCTTTTCCTTTTGTACAAAGGTTTGCTCTACATTCTCAGCAAATGGAATATCCCCAAGCTACGCAGTAAGCGCTCAGAAGTAGTCATAATTTCTAGACAGCAATACTGTAAAATAGAAACACTAGCAATTGCTATGAATTACAGCACTATGCTGCCAGTCTATTTAACAGAAAAAATAACTGTCAAATTTGGCAGATGGTGGATACTAAGCTCCAGTATTTCTTCCTTCTCCTCCCAGCATACTACACCACAAATGACAACCAAATAGAACATTCATTCATTCATTCATTCACCTTTCTCCCTAAAAAGAACTTAAGACAATATTTAAAGCTAAAGACAGTAAGCCTACAAATACTAAAAAAGATCAAACAAATACTACACAAAAAGACAGTAAACAAAGCAATGCAAAAAAACCCTATTCAAAACAGGAAGCTACAGACATTCATTTAAAAGCCCACTCAGGCAGCCAGACATTAAGTGAAAGCATGCCTGAAGAGAAAAGTCTTCACCTGCTTGCAGAAGGATAGCAAAGATGGGGCCAGCCTGGCCTCCTGCGAGAGGGAGTTCTAAAGTCTGGGAGCAACAACAGAAAAGGGGCTCTAATATATCCCCACCAAATGCACCTGTGAAGTCAATGGGACCAAAATAAAGGCCTCTCCTGATTATCTTAACAGCCTGGCAGGTTTATACAGGGAGACGCGGTCCTTGAGATGCCTTGGACTCAAGCTGTTTATGGGTTTATAGGTTAGAACCAGCACTTTGAATTGTGCCTGGAAACTGATTGGCGGCCAGTTTATTCATCCACACTCTGTCCATTACTGATATCAGACCCTGATCTAGAACTGCCTTAGATTTACATAGAAAGGTGAGACAGAGTTGGGTGTAATCCACATACTGGTGACATTGAATCCCAAAACTGGAGACAGCCTCTCCCAATGGTTTCATGTAGATGTTAAATAACATAGGAGACAAAACAGAACCCTGAGTGACCACACAGTCCAGCAGCCAGAGTATTGAACAGGAGTCCCCCAGCACCAACGTCTCAGTTCCCTCCTGCAGGAATGACCAGAGCCACTGCAAAACAGTGCCTCCAAGTCCCATCCCCGAGAGATACCATGGCCATTGATATTGAAAGCCACTGAGAGGATACAATCCACCTATCCAGTTAACCATGCAGATTGTCCATCAAGGTGACCAAAGAAATCACCATCCTATAACCAGGCTGAAGCCAGATTGAAATGGTTCTAGATAATCTCTCATCCAGGAATCCCTCAGGCTGAGAAGCCACAACCTGCTCTAGCAACTTGCCCAAAAATGGAATATTAGAGAACAGTCAAAAATTATTCATTATCACGGGATCCAAGCAGGGCTTTTTCAACAATGGTCTTACTATTGCCTGCTTCAAGCAAGCTGGGATCCTACTCTGTTGCAAAGAGACATTCGCCACTCTTCCTACCCCCTTGACCATTATCTGAGATGATTACACATCTCTAGCTATGTTGTGTTGGGATGCATTTCCAGGGCAGCTGCAGCCAGTGGGAAGATGACGACACGGCACTTCTCACATACAGTTCATAGCCACCTTCTTGTCTTGGGTTGCTTTTTGAACTGAGCTCCTCTCAGCTGAATATGAATCAGGAGGAAAGAGACCATGAATCACCAGTTCACTGCTCAGTTAAGCAGAAGAGCTGACTAGGTGCATTGCCCTTGACAATGGCAGCTCGTCAGAGGTACAAAAGTACGGAGACACATATTCTCTACCTCTGCTTTTCAAAGTTTGAAGCATAAAGGAAAAGCAGGAATTCCTTCCTTCAGACAACAGGCAAAAGGGAGCCAACATTGCCTTTCAGTCCCTTAGCCATGTCGACTAGTGAAATGTATAAGAGTGTGGCCATCAGTCTGGATTTTGGTCAGACTGTCCTCCTTTTTTAAGTCATGCCCTCCTCCTGGCCCAGAAGCTTCAGGGTCTAGACTGGGTTACACAGAGCAAACAAAAAGTCAGGAGCAGCTCAAGCTTACCTGCCATGTGGAGTGGGACTCAAAGCACTTTCCCCCACTGCCATGCGATTCTTCCTTTGTGCCTCTCCGCACACCGAATGGCTTTTTAAAAAAGCCCACCACCACAGCATTACCACCGTGAGAGAAATAAGTGGAGGAAACCCTGCTCCCTGAATCAAGGCAGCCTTTCCCACCATGCCTTGCTTGTAAGGACCTCTCCATGGAACTCATATGCGCTATATCTTGTAATTCTAACTAAATTTCAGCTGATATATCTAATTATGATGCATTTGCATGTATTAACTTAAATTAGCACATGCAACTTTAAAGCAAAACCATCCTCTTTTTTGATGACAAATGTCCTCCATATGGGGTGTTTTCATTCTCCTCTATGTACTCCAGTTCAGTGCTGCATGTTCTCCCTTCTGCAATGCAACAATGGCCACCCTAATAAACAGTCACTTGAATTAAATGAAATGCATGTGGTTTCAAGAGAGAACAACTATACTATCTTTCACAAGATGTAATGGATAGAACATAAGACAACATTGCTGATCACAATACAGTATAAATTCAAAATATGAGAAGGGCAACATAAGAACATACCAGATATGTAAGAGCGTCCATTGCAGTCCTCTATATCCATCTTTAAGACACTCTGCTGAAGAAAAAAGGGCAGAGATGTATCAGAATAGCAAACATAAACTAAACTTTTAGTAGGATTCTCTCTCCACCCCAGGCTGCACAAGAGTGCAAAATCATCCTAGAACATCAAAACAAACTAAACTATTTCAATTCAAAGTCCTGGGACAGCTTAAAGGTTAGCTGCCCTGGGTTCTTTTCAAGGAGAAAGGAGGGATAAAAATATTTTAAATAAATAATTAAAGAAATAAATTAATGAACTTGTGACTCTCAGGATTTCCTGCATTTAACTTCCATTTGTTCTCAAGACTCCCTGACCTCACTTCCAATCATATGCCCTACATATATACTTGAAATTATGAAAAATATTCCATGTAGCTAATGCAATAGGTTACAGTCCATGGAGGTTTATGCTGTAAAAGATCTCTCTGTTTATAAAGCAACATAAGACTTTATTTGGGTTGGGCTAATTATGATAGACAAACATGGTGACCCTTTAAGAAAATTAACCATTTCAATTTTATTGATGCACACATTTTCAAGACTGGAGCCATAATATCAATTCACTTGTGGATGCTATCAAAGAACTACTTTTTAATAAGGGGAGAACCAAATGGTTTATTTCCGTTTGATTTTTTTAAAAAATAAATAAAAATAAACTCTTCATCAAGAATATGCAATCTTATACCGTGTTTCCCCCAAAACAAGGCAGGGTCTTATATTAATTTTTGCTCCAAAAATGCATTAGGGCATATTTTCAGGGGATGTTTTATTTTTTTCATGTACAGCAATCTACATTTATTCAAATAGAGTCATGTCATCTTGTTCTGGTTGCTGCACAATGGTGGAGGGTGGGATTTCACTTAACTGGGGCTTATTTTTGGGGTAGGGCTTATATTATGAGCATCCTGAAAAAAATCATACTAGGGCTTATTTTCAGGTTAGGTCTTATTTTCAGGAAAACAGGGTAACATACAGAAGCAAGGTGATAATCTGGGAATGGAGGTCTTCCTAAATTGTGGTTTGGCAATTTTTTATTTATTTATTTATTTATTCTATTTATATCCCGCCTATCTGGTCGATATGACCACTCTGCAAGGCAGAAAAGGAAAAACTATTGCTGACATCTATTCCCCTGCTGTATTGGAAACAAAAGGCTGGACATATTTTTTGGTTGCTTACAACGCAGTAAATTTTCACCATGTTTTTCTAGCACTGTGTCTGTGTTCAGCTGCCTTCTATACAAGGAGGAAGACTGTCAAATAATATTACTTCACAAAACAGAAGCACAACACTGTTTCAAAAGGTTGCAAGGAAGGAGCAGCTGTCAGTCTTACATCTGATGAGGCAAGAAGACTGGATTCAGTCTTCACTGGTCTAGAACACAAGTGGCCACAGGCCACTGCTAATTTTGAATCCTTCCACGGCAAAGTACAGTAACAACTGTCTGTTGCAATTCGTTTTCAACAAACTGATTCTTTGCTGTCACTCGTTCAGTTGTGTCTGAACGAAAAATTGATGCTCATGTATAGATAGTGCAACCACCATATTGCACTCCAAATGCAAGAGTTCGGCTTCTTTTTATCAATGGAAACGACTGGTGGGGGGTTGTGTATTGTTTTCTTACTTTGTTTTTGGAGCAGTGAGACTGAAAAGCAGGGTGGATTTGATTTAAATCATGATCACAGTTTTTTAAAAAAATCAGTTTTAAAATTTAAATCATGATTTAAATCAATTTGATTTTAAAGAAAATTATTTATTTTTATCCACCCTGCTGGAAACGAACACTGTCCACTGAACAGCTGAAAAATAGCCTTATTCTACAGACCTGCTTGAACAACAGTGGGGCATACTGTATAGATCCTGCTACAGTATTTAGTCCCTTGTGGAGTTAATGAAAATGTCATATATTCAAATGCCTTTCTCCCTCCCTCAATGACACTTCATCTTCAAAATAAAAATACAAATGAGTATGAACCACCACAAATTTCACATGTTGAATTAACACTATAAGCCTGCTAGGAAGCTCAGAAACAAGAACTCATTGGGAAAAACAATTAAGAGTAGTCATTTCCTGAGCCAAATTAGATCCTGAAGCCAAAATATAGGTAGAATTTGCTGGAACAAAAAGAACAAGGGATTAGCACTTCTGCCTAGTTTTTAAGTGTTCACAATATGCCATACCTGTGGATTAATAATAACAGCTTGCTTGCTGTTAGGGACGTGGTGGCGCTGTGGGCTAAACCGCAGAAGCCTGTGCTGCAGGGTCAGAAGACCAGCAGTCGTAAGATCAAATCGACGCGACAGGGTGAGCGCCTGTCGCTTGTCCCAGCTCCCGCCAACCTAGCGGTTTGAAAGCATGCAAATGCAAGTAGATAAATAGGGACCACCTCGGTGGGAAGGTAACAGCGTTCCGTGTCTAAGTCGCACTGGCCATTTGACCACGGAAGATTGCCTTTGGACAAAACGCTGGCTCTATGGCTTGGAAACGGGGATGAGCACCACCCCCTAGAGTGGAACACGACTGGACAAAAATTGTCAAGGGGAACCTTTACCTTTACCTTTACCTTATTTGCAAACTACTATTATAAAAAGGAGGGGAGAAACACCAAGGGAGACAATGTATAAAGACTGAGGGCATTGATGGATATTAGAATAGTTACCAAATAAATGCAACCCATTCTTCATGGCAAATGAAGACACAGGACAAAGGAGAAAGAGATTCAGTTGTTTTAAATCAAGAGACTAGTTTATAAGAAAAAAACATACAGGAGGAAGTTACAAATCCCCTTGTCCATAACAAATGGACCAAGAGTTCTCCTGCTTAGCAAAAACAACTTCTCCTCATTTAAAGGGCAAAAGGTGTAGGTGTAAATAAAACAAGGACTTGGTTCTGAAATGAGGCATTTAAAAGGAAAAAAGAAACAGCACATGAGTGAAATGTGTAGAGATACAGAGATTAATAGCACACTGTGAAGTTATTAAGTGAAGTACATTTGAAAGCAAATAGTCAAAATATTCTTACACCGTGGAAGACCATTAAATCTATTTAATTCATAACAGTGGTTCCCAATCTTGGGTAACCCAGATATTCTTGGACTACAACTCCCCAAAGCTTTCACCACTAGATGTGCTGGTCAAGATATCCGGGAGTTACAGTCAAAGAACACCTGGGTTACCCAAGACTGGGAAACACTAGTCTATAAGAACCAATACACAGACTAAGAATGCAGTCAAACAGGATCACATACTACCTGGAACTTTCTTTAAGAACTTCCCATCTCTAGCTGAAAGGACAGCCAGGGGTCTGGCAACAAGCTAAACATTACCAACTTCCCCATTTCTACTTGTCACTTAGCCTTAGTGATTGGACAACAGCTGGCTCCACATACTGCCACAGAGGACACTTTAAAGGTAATGTCATCCCAAAATTGAGAATGAGTGAAAATAGCATTTAGGAGAATCTCCAAAGTTCAGTCCAGATCAGTGAGCAAGGAAAGGAAACCAGCAACCTGCCTGTATCTCCCACTGTGCAACTGACTTGAGTGCACCTGTATGCTTGTTCACATAAGTGTATTCATGAAGGATGTTATGAGCCAGACCATCCCAAATATTCCAGTTGAAAACACAACACTGTGCCCTTTTTCCTATCTTAGGTGCAACAGGTCCCGATTCTTTTTATTCTTATGGTTGTATAACCACAAGGTTGTATAAATGATCTAGCATATTACCCATGTTGGAGCAAACGATGATTCTACACCAAAGCTATTTAGTGACAGCGAAGCATTATTTTTCCATAATTAGCGGGAAATTGTTTTAGTATGGAGGTTCCACACAAACAGTACAGCAATACATTACTGATCCATGCCTTTCGTTGTAGCACAACAGTATTACATTCACTGAAGGAAAATTCCATCCAGCAATGATCCTCAGCATTGTTAATTAAAACATCCCATTTGCAGCTTTTCACTTACCTTACTTCAAGATATTTCATAAATTTTTACTCATTGCACCCAACTGATCACACTTGAGGATTAGTGATGTACAACCTCTTAATTACTTACAAAGTCAACCTCTTACTGCTGTTTTTTATAGGAAAATAATGTCAAAGGGAAGAAAAAAAGAATAAATGAAATCCACTAACTAAAATTTCTCCTCTCCATTGGAATGGAATTTGATATTTTGGAGAAGTGAGGCCACTCCAGGGACTATTAACGGTTTATTCACCACCAATCCTCCAACTGCTGTCAACAGATACAATAAAACAAATACGCCCAATAACAGAAAACACTTAATTAAAGGCAGAGTCACCCACACTGTACAGCTGGTGTTGCAATTTATTTTTAACACACACAAATCAAGTCCAAAAATCCCTCAAAGACTGGACTGCATAAAACTGACAATGTAATCACATAGATCAGTGACACTGAGTGCCCAAACTTGGGGGGGGGGGAACGGACAAGCGGGAGGCGGGCCATGGCGGAACCGGAAGTGGGGGCAGAAGGCCATGGAGGGGCTTCAAGACCCCACTCCACATCCACCACCAGCGCCAGCTACTCCGGATCGTGGCCCGCCGCCTGTCAAAGCACCAGCACCGCGGCTGCAGGTTTGGCTGCAGGGGCGGGGTGAGTAGTAATCTGGCGACTTATAGCTCACGTGCCTGCAGAAAGGGCTCTGCTTGCCAGCTGAGGCACATGTGCTGACCTAGATGGTTATTAAAAACTGAGTGAACTTTTTTTTTAATTCTAGAGGAAAAGATTAGTTTGGATGTAATTAAATAGATTCTCTTCCTTTTTATTCCTTGGTCTAGCCATACAGTTTCCTGAATTATATGATAGCAGCTGTGTCCTATAATGAAAGTTTACCATGTTTCATTCATTCCCATTTAAATATTCTTAAAAGCACTATTTACTGTATTGGATTCATTTGTCAGTACCAAAAAAAGGGGAGGGGGAAGGCACACAAAACAACCACATCAGTCTCCTACTGCAAATTGTTCAAATATCCTTTTATACATAG